TGTTCATGTATATCGTCTTCTTCTGACATCCTCGATACTGTAAGAGCGTGAAGTAGCGTAGCCTTTTTAATCGGCCGTATCGAGGCATATATCTGCTTTAGATTTAACCAAATTTCACGAGATGTTAATTTAGCAACTCGCTTCGCAATTTGGAGCTATTGCATTTTCTCATTGAGTTATTGCAGTAGTATCTGTCGTCGGTTTTTTTAATTGTGTCATTTACATAACCCCATCCGTCACTTTAGACTAATAAAGCTTCAGCTTGGACACAGGAGTCATAATTATCTTTCGTAGGTACTTCAATCCTCGTAGAATTTATAAAATTACTCGTATTCACTTTTGCACTTTAACGAATACTTCGATTAACCTCACTTTTTGCAAATAGTAATATTTTCACTCTAATTTCGTTTCACTCGTGAAATTGTGCCCATAACCTGTTAATATACTATCAAAAGATGGAAGTTGAAACAAGATGTCAATAATATAACCACGTGTTTATAGCGATTAATATAAATTTTATTAGAGATCTATTGCACATGAGTATTGTACACCGTATTCACGAAGGCCTACTATATTCGCAATATGACATAATTAGTTTCATATAGTTGTTTCAACACGCCGTGGCTCCTTAAGGCACGAAGTATTTATCGAGAGAGCGCGCGTTAGTAGACACGGGTAGTGATGTGAATCTTATTTGGCAAGGCCTTTTTAAGAAAATAATAAAAGTGAGGCTAAACCAAACGTCGCGCACACTTACGGGATTCGGTAACGCACGAATTATTCCGATCGGGTGATTCGACACGAAATTGATTATTGTCGATTGTGAATACATAACCGGTGTGTTTAAGGTTCTGCGAGAGTCCATGACGTCCGTAATTCTGGGACGAGATTTCGTAGCGCGAGTGGAACCCTGTATTAACAAGGGTGTGTTAACAGTGAGAAAGGCAGAGGATAATAATCGAAAAAGTCATACCGAATACAGTGAAGCGAAGAATAAGCCTCGAAAGTCCGTGTACATCCGAGAAGTCCATCTCGGAGAAGATCGATCAGAAGTCGAATCCAGTCTTCTAGCATCTCTGAGCTACAATACCGTCTTAAGTCATTCCACTCAAACGCGATCCTACTTATCTCTTAAATGGATCTCATGTCTGATTTCGATGATTTTGAAATCACGAAATTAATCACGCCTACCTGTCCCAAGAGAATAGAATTAGGTTATCTAGTTTGGTTAGTTTAATCGTCGAAGACAAGACGTGACATCAAAAATATACCATCAGCTTTGTAAATAATTATCCTATTTTGATTTAATACTATACTGCATATAATTAAACCATGATTTGAATAAATCTTCCGATTCATTCAGAAAATAAATATTTTCTGTTAAACGTTTGAGTCGGTATAAAGTATTCTATTTATTTCATTTCTGTTAAACACTATCTTAGCTTATCTAATTTCTGTATAGAGTCTGTTATGGTGTCAGAGGCAGAAATTCGTATGGATGTGTACATATATTGTATACGTAAAATTGAATGTAGTAATATTTTTTGTCTTTGAAAGTAAGGGAAATTGCTAATTTTATCAAGCAGATAAGTTGTCTCAAACGACATCTTCTATAATCGGGTTTGATTTAACAGATATTTGTCATAAATCTTTTGTAAAATGGGGTTCTTGCAAACAAAGAATACTAGGTGATTTTTCTTCATAAGCCTTCTGATATTCAGAAATCGTGCAGAGTAATCGTTTACGTCTCATTATATAAGTGTATATGAAAATCATAACTCGTACTAAGTTATGTCACTTTTTGTACGAGAAAGCAGTGTGGGAAGTTTATACTTTTTCTCTGATTTCTTCGTTGTTCTAGTAATTCTAGTGAAGCGAAATAGTAAAAGGAAATAATAGAGGAAGATAGGGTTTTCGATATAGTATCTAGCTATCTCTGGTGTTAGAGGGTTAACGATGGATTTGGCAAGGAAATTCTTAAAGTTTAACACATTGAGCGCCGGCCTCATTCGCATGTTTCCGAACAACGAGTAGCTAAAGAAAATATTTAAAACTTACACATTTTCTTAAAATACTATATTTTGATTGCATATTCGTCATTCTGTGGACATTTCACTATTACACTAGAATCATCGAAATCTCTCGAATATTGTAATGGAACAGCTCTTGATATTCTCCTTTGATCCAAATCACTATCACTGTCCTCGACTTGTATGTCAGAATCTTGCGAATGTATCGAATAATCTGATAGAAGATCAGCAATATACTCGTTAAAAACTTCGCTCATATTATATGGATAAAAATTTACAGAACAATAAGACTTATTATATTGTTCAACAAAAAATGTAAACCTACGAAAGAGGTACTAACTAAGAGATACACTGCTTGAGAGTGATTTTTGCTTTGATTGTTTCTGAACCATCGTATACGTTTTATTTTCGGAGTATAACAAACGCAAATTGTTGTAAACATGACAAGTGAATGCAAATTGACGTGTAAGACATCCATAGAAGCAAGAAAAAATCCTCATCATCGTGGCCGGCGCTCAATGTGCTAATATAAAAAATACGGAAGGAACTATGATCCTGTTATATTCGTTCAGGGAACGCTCACTTTGAGTTTTCCTTTTATCGTGTATAGTTGAGAATAAGAATTTGATACTTGCTTTCGAGGCAGATAAATCTCTTAAATTCCTGATTAATTCCGAGTAGGAATTCCATTGTTGAACTAATTGGTCTCTTAGTCCGACAGATTAGTGCCTTTGAATGAGAGTTAGGAGAACTTTCCGAGATATCTTGTGGACTAAAAATGTAACATAAGATTCAGGGCGACCACTACGCGGGCAAGGATACGCCCTTGGTCTAATTATCTTTCAATTCGGACAATGAACTCCATGTGGCAGCTTCTTGGTTTTCCTTAAAACGAGTGTAAGTTTCTTTGAGTCCTATTGATTAAAAGGAGGCTTACGTCTTGTAAGACGTGATGGCTTCATCGTCATCGGTCGATAATGTTTGTCTTTTTTAAATAAATAGTCAGCAGCCGCGAGTTATACCCCGTTCAACGAGAATTGGCAAGAATTGTAAACAGCTACACGTGAGCGATGCGTGATCAATCTAAGATTGAAACGTAACGTTTTACCATTCTTGAAAATTTGAATAAGGTTTTAAAACTTGATAAGTATTCATTATCTTATATAATTATATGATGCGTTCTTATTGCTTCTATTAGCGCAATTTCATTGTCATTCAGCATGAAAGGAAGTTTGGAAAGATGTAGTTATTATTAATATATTTTCTTTGTGTTATTGGTTTTTATGTCTTATATTTTTTAATATTTTTAAATATATTATATAGAAGAGGATTTTAATGATTATTATATGAATATTTCTTTAATCATACACATGTGCTTACACATACGAGCCATTGAAAAACCAAGGTGATTAACTCGATTTTTCGAATTTAAGATTTTTATGTCAAAGCACTTGATTGATACATAACTTTTTATATTTAAACTAAATTTCTTTAATAATTATGCTCAACGTTACAACATGACGAAAACAAGTTTTAGTTTTAAAACTAAATCTTTAAAAAGAATACCTATTATTTCATTCATTTCTTGACCTTTCCCTTCGTCTAGCTAATAAATTTCATATGACGGTCGCTTGGTCTTAGTTTTCAAGATATTTGCAGAATGCAAAAATCTGTATTTAAATTTAGTTTGCTTCAAAGTATACGCAAAGTCAAATCTCGTACATTGCTTAATAGAACTTAAATTATATTTAAAGCTATCGTATTATTGTACACAATATAAAGCTAAATGAACAAATATTAATAAGTAATAAAAATATTTTTATTATATTTCTTGTCTTTGAAAAATTCTTCTTACAAGGTATTAATGTGGGAAGACAGAACAGAACTAAATTCAGTAATTTTATGAAATTGGGAAACTTTGTTCTATTGCTTTTCTGCTTATTGCGATAGAGCTCGGTATATATTAGCGTACGTATCATTCCGTTAAATAATTTCCAAACTAATTTAACGAATTTCAATTGTATAGCGGAATATTTAATAGTGATATTTTTGGCTCGGGTATTCACTCGATCCGCAGAAAAAAAAGAAAAAACTGTCATATCTTTTGGGGATGATTTCACAATCGATGATAACGACAATGATAATAAAAATGATAATATAGTATGACGATGTTTAAAAAATACTCAGAGAATAGCACCTGCTGGACAAACTCTAAACCAACCTATTTGTCCATAATATGTTTCTCTCAACACGGAAGAGGATATGGGAAAAGTACATAGAAATGAGAGGACGGAATCGAAACGACGACCAATCTTCTATCAAAATGTAACTACCTACACACTATTAAAAACAAACATCGAAACTGTAATTAGGATCTCCGCTGTCAAGAATACGGTCATAGGAAAGAATGCTGCATTAAGGCATATTATTGTGTGAAATGTGCTGGTGATCATCCAACGCAGGAGTGAAAAATAAACACACACCATATACATGTTTCCTCTGCAATGGTCCTTATCCAGCAAATTGTAAAAGCTGTTCCATTTACAAGACGCTTCAAAAAACGAGAGGGAATATCCCGTCTGAATGTCCAGGAAATAATGCAACAAATCCGATTCGGTCACCTAGCTATCTGAGGAAAAATTTGAACTACAGAAACAACTTATAGCAAACGCAGTAAATACATCCTGAGCAAGAAATGAAACCCGAAATTTATGAATTTCTAAGTAAATTCAAAAAATGTTCGTGCAATTAATAATTCAAGATAGCACGACAATAAATCTTTCCACTATTGTTAGAAAAAATTCTCTACCTCGAAATGCATGATGCGATCAGACCAGTAATTTGGAACGCCAAAGGATTGCCCCAACGCAAAAATGAAATACATCTGTTCTTAGACGTACGCATAATTGACATTTTACTTGTCTCAAAGACCAACTTCACAAATGAAAATCACATTAATATTTTTAATACATGATTTATCAAGCACAACCCAGTGGAAAATCACGTGGCGATAGTGCCATAATTAGAAGAGGAAATATGGTGCGTAATGAAATGGCGAAATACGAAGAAACGTGTTTACGAGCGACTTCCATTAAAATCTGTCTAACAGTTTTCTAATGATAGACGTAGTGTACTGCCCATCTAAACATCAGATAACTAAAGATCAGTTTAAAGAACGTTCAGATACCTTGAGTGATAAATTTATTACCAGAGGACATTTCACCGCTGAAAAGTCTCGATGGGGTTCCAGAATAATCAATTCTAAGAGTAGAGAACTACAAAAGGCTTTAGTTACCAGTGGTTACCGAACTGTTAGCTCAGGAAAACTAATATACTGGCCCACTGATAATACTGAACTACCTTACGTCCTCGACATATTTATAACAAAATGCTCTATAGAATATTCGCATACAGGATAATTACGACCTACCATTTGACCACTCTCCTATTATTGTAAAGTTTACAACTGTAACACTTAACCAAGGCAAGAAGCAAGCGTTTTATAACAAGTATATGGATTGGAAATGAATTAAATTATATTTGAAAAAGCACTTAAATCTTGCTATCCCGTTGAAGACATCCACGGATATAGAACATGCAGCACAGGATATGACAGAACATCTGTAACACGCAGCATATATTGCCATACCGTAAAAAGCACAAAAATTCAGCGACAAAGTTTTATACTTTAAATACGTGAAAGAAAAAATTCTTGAGAAACATGGAGAGATAAGAAAAATAAGAATCTACTTATCAAATTCAGAAATGATAATGATAATAAACGATAAGAACAAAATATCTGAAACATGCTCGAAAACCAACTTCTCGGTGAAGGAGGAACTTCTGTAAGATTCTTGCTCAGTTATCGTGGGCTCTTCGCCGGGCTGGAATAAACCGAACGTTTTGAAAGAACGTTAAAGTTCGCACTGTTCCACTATTTCAAGAAAAGTTCAACGTAGTCATTGGGTCCAGCTATTGCGAAGTCGGCCCTGATCTGATAACGCACTCTTCACGTACAGTGGTCGCATTCGGTATCTCGTCTCGTTGGATGAACTATAGCATGCACGTTTGTACCTCGTGACATTCCAACTACTCGTGAAGAATTTACGACCACAACGGAATGCCTGATTTCAACAACGCTGGTGTGTAATCCTATTAAGTATATCGCACCACCAGAAATCAAAACCGAGTTTAATCGAAATAATAAGGAAGTTCCAGGATACGATTGCATAACGGCTAAACTGCTTTTAAAGGGTTACCCCAAAATGCTATAATCGCAGTAGACCAAATATATAATGCAGTTACTGGATTGCAGTATTTTCCAGTCCAATGAAAATTTGCAGAAATTATAGTAATATCCAGATCCGTAAAACCACCACAAGGAACTGCTTCTTACTGGCCTATATTCTCACTGCCGATTCTTTCAAAATTGCTAGAAAAAGGTATTCGGAAGAGGCTATTATCAATCATAAATGACAAAGATATTATTCTTGCACACCAATTTCGTTCCAAACTGAAACATGGAACAGCATTGGAACAATTACGTAGAGTAGTCGATGCCCTGGAAATATTTCTGAAGAATAAAAGGTTTCAACTCTGCAACTTTCATGGATGTTGACCAGGAATTCGACAAAGTATGTCACTCGTGATTACTCTTCAAACTGAATGTTAATTTACCACATCGTTTCTACAAGTTCCTTGAGTCATACTTCTCGGAATGTCATTGCAAAGTCAAGTACAGTGGAAACTACTCAAGTATCAAGAAAGCCTAGCTGTTGCCCCTCAAGGGGTTGTTTTAATCAAGCAGCCGATCTTCCATAGACTGAAAGCGGAACAACATTTGCGGATAACACAGCAGCTGTGACAGTACACGAAGATTCAAGTACGGTTGTAAAATTCTTACAAACAAATGGAAGTTAAAGATTAATGCAAGTAAATCGACACATAGTATTTCCTATATAGTAGGAAATCAAATGATTTAGGAAAATATTCAGTCGGCAATAACACCTAAGTTAAGGGAACTTCACTGGGGTTCCCTTTCTCGTATTTATATTCGTTTTATTCTTGTTAGTTGGTCACTATTGTTATTAAATTTTTATGAGTATGTTGTCATATGAAAATTTGACAGAAAAAGAAAAAAAAGATCTGTGTTCGTGTAGGATTCGAGTAATTTTTTGGCAAACAATTTCCTTTATTATAACACATTGTAATGTCTGTCTTGCGATTCAGCGATGCGCATAAATAAAAGAAGCTTGTCGAAAGTATAAATTCGGTACAGTTTAATTATTTCGTGTTCTGGTGTGCAATCTCTGTTAACGTTTTATGCGAGCAACTTTTACTTCATGGCGACTTAGTTTGAAAATCGGTAATTTGTTATTATACAAGCAACGTCTCGCGAAGATTGTCTATAATGTCGAAACGATGTAGGTTTATTTCATGGAATTTAACGAGGGCTTCGTACAATGTTATTTTTGCGACAGAAAGTTTCAAGCTATGAAATCGATAACTGTACCGATAAAACGTTTATTAATTTATCCTTATAATTTTAGAGGTCGAAACAGGTTGGTATTCAATATACCAAATGTTCATTAGATTATTGGAGTAAAAGCAGGAAGTGATGGCCGCACTATTCCATTTTCATATCTCATTCGGACAATAGTTGAAACTTTGCCTATTTTAAAACCATCTTTTTCATTGATTATAGAATATTGTACTGAAACCAACGTTTCGATTTCTAAAGTAATTCCAGCAATAAAACAATTACTCGTTTTCTTTGTTTTACGTAGCGAGAATATTTTAGCTGTGAAATTAAAGGAAATAACATTCGAGTACTTCCATAATGTTGAAAGTAATTCATTGCATGTAATGGCGACAGTTCTCGATCCGCGTTTTAACCCTTTCGCTACAGCGGATGTTGCTGCGAAGTCCCTCCCGTAGAACGAAACGACGTGTCAAAGATGAAAACATTACGATTATGCAGTCTTTGGCTATAAAGCTTGCAATGCTTTGCAAAGAGAGCTAAGAGGAACGGTAGCACTTGTCTTAACCCTTTGCACTCGAGAGGCGACCCCCAGTCGCCATTTTAATCAGAACCTAAACATCGTTAACTAATATATCAAATTTAAAATTACCCAACAACGCGTGGAATCTCGAAGTAAAATAATTCTGTCTTAATTTGCATACGATTTCTTATTTATCGTTTTAACCCTTCGATGACTGAACTGTTTGACGTTAAGCGTGCGCTGTGGGAGCCCCCACTTCTTACAAACGGAGCACGTTTCGGCAATATTCTAAACTAATTGTAAACTATTTCGAAATTATTATTTTATAAAACTATACAGAGTTCATAGCCCAGATTGAATGATTATGTGAGAACGCATATAATGCGTTCATAGCTCAAATCGAATGGTTGTGGGAGAACCCATATATGGGTTCATAGCCCAAATCGAATTGTCGTGTGAGAACTCTTATATGGGAGTTCATAGCGCTCAAGGGGTTAAAAATATCGTCAACTGTATGGCAGAAAGTCTTCGAATTATTATTTTTCTGTAACGAAAAATTCGCAACGAGTGCAAAGGGTTAATTTTTTACTCAATTTTTGTGGCCGATGACTATAGTCATCCGTAGTAGCGAAAGGGGGGTTAACCATTTGCATCATGGCCCTACTTGAGATGCTGTGTTCATCAAACAACTACAACGTTCAACCGACGACTGGCCCATATCACCGCGCGCGGTCGGTCGTATGTTCAGTAAATGACTTCGGAATTCTTCATGGAGTTTATTTAACATGATACTTTTTAATACAATAGGTACACAATGTTACATCGCAAACATCGCATTTTACATTTTTTTATATAAACAAAAAAAAAAGAAATTATTTTACAAATAAAATAAAACATAAGTTAAATTTGTCAAGAATATAATGAACTGTTGTAGGCGAGATGCTTGCAAAAGGGATCACACGTGATCTGTCGCATACGAAGAATATTCAGCGACTGGTAATGAAAACTAGTCACAGCTCGCGGAATATTCCGCGCTCGGTGATAGGAGACTGTCGTGATTCGCGGATTATTCCGCGCCTGGATGCAAATGGGTTAAAGCGTAAAGGTTTATGTTCGACGCGTTTCGACAATATCGGAAAACCAAAAGCGTTCATAAATTCTCGGGTTTCAAATATGTTTCTCGATAACATATCATTCGAGTAAACGACACGTCTCATTCTGTCCTTTTTTCGACTACAAAGTTAAACAAGAAAGTATAAGTAATGTATATGTTAGTCGGATAAACGAATTAGATAATTATATGCGAGAAAGTTACATTGATTATATCCATTGAAATATTGGCGAATGAATAGAACAATGTATCCCAAACTAGCGAGATTGGCAAAATTAATTTTTTCCTGACCTTTCACGCCAGTACCGATTGAAGGGATGCATTCAAAATCAAGAAATATAATAACTACGAAAGAAGTAGATTAAAATATACTGCGTTAATTAAATCTTACTATTAAATAGTTAATACAAGTTTTACGTACGAGGAAATTGATATTCCCAGCATTAACTGAATGAGAATTAGGAAATTTGTCTTCTAGATGAATCGTTGAAAATAGTTACAATAGTTGTAAGTAAATAAAATCAAGTATTCACATATCATATCGTATACAATAGTATATTAGCCTTTTGCACTCGAGAGGTGACTCTCAGTCACCGTTTCTTTCAATGCTATAACTCAAATAATGAATGATGATAATTATATTAACAACTTCGCACGAAATATCGAGATAAAATAATTCTATTCGTTCATTTCTCACGCAAATGCACGATTTTCTTTTTTTATTTTGGCATAAAGAGTACCAGCGAGCTTATGAAAATCTAAGAAAAGCTTCAAATTGCTGTTTGCAACGAAAAAGTCTTCGAGTCCAAAAGGTTAGGAAAGGTATCGAATAATGGTAAGATGATTAAAATCAACAGTACCAATTCCACGTTTAACGTGCTAGAAAATGCAATTGGTTGTTCAAATTATTATCCCTGTGCACTGGAAAATTTCCTCGTTATAAAGATATAACAATTCGAAGCTTTTCTTATATTTTTCTTACCTCGGTGATACCATTTATGTTAAAATAGAAAGTGAAAATCATGTGTATTTCATTTCAATATTTCACGTGGAGTTATTTCTAATCTAGTAATGTCTCATACTCGTTACACAGGCTTCCAGGTATTGAAACAAACGGTGACTGACAACGAGAATTACCGCTCGAGTGCAAAGAGTTAACTTTAAATATAATTGTACTACTGTATGTGTAGTATAAAAATGATAATCCGAACTACTTTTTTATTTAAAAACTTTGTCGTAATCGTTAAAAACTCTTCTGTATTATTTCATTTTGCTTTCCTTATTTCTCAGGTATAATCACACGTTAGTTGTAATTCTAATAGGCAGAAGGGAATGCGTGAAGAAATATGTTTATAACAGTATCATTCCAGATTTTATTTTATTCGTATCAATGAAATTGCGTCAGTGAAAGTAAT